TAATTAGTCTTCATTAATTATCTAATTATTGCTTCTGATATGCTTACTTTAAAGGAATGCTTATTGCTATCATTAAAAAAACTGCTAATGTTGTTGAACAGAGAATATTTGCAGCAAAAGCAATTAATTTAATTAATATTGATAAGAGTCCTTAGGATCCTGACGATTAAATTATGGTTGTTTCAGGAAGGGGCATGAAAGCTGATACTCGGCTTGTAGATAGTGGACAACATTTGGACCTTGTGCCATTACATATTAATCTAATGCCTAGCAAGTTGATAATCATAATGGTTGCAGTGACACAATAAGGGACACAATTAATCTTATTTACGGGGTTGTACTACTCATATCGACAGTTCCTCCGGAGTGGATATTCTTTTCTCTCTTATCCTTAAGCATCTCATTATTCGCCTAAGAAGCGAATCCTCCATTCCCGTAAGCTCTGGGCCCTCCAATTAAAGCTGTCTATAATTATATATAATCAAAGAAGTCAGGCCTCTTCACTCCTCTGACTTAAGCAATTGAAGCCGTCAAAAAAAACCTTTGTTTGTTTATTGTGCGACCCAGCGACAGGAGTGGCGAGGTTATCTGCATACTGCAGTTTTATTTTATACCGAAAACTTATCATGAACTTGCATTTGCTCTAGCCATCGACAGTAGCCGCGAAAGATAATATGGCTTGTTGAATTACCGCTTGCTCTAGAAACAGCTAGAGAAAGATATGCACATATTTCACTTCACACAAACAGGCATTAACGCACACGAGCATGTGTCCGCAAATCAGTTTTTATCAATCTCAATTGTTTCGACCTAAAGAATCGGGGTTACAAGGACATTTGTGTGCCTCCTCCCCCCTCTGTATCGTACAGGTGTCAGTTCTCCTATCTAAACTTTTCAGAAGTTGATACCGGACTAACACCAACCGGATATGTGCGTCAGTATTTATGTTTGTTTACTGTATCTGAGCACGGTTGTGCAGTCACAGTGACAAGATCAAATGGCTTCACAATTTATGGGTATGAGAGCGAAAATATGTTGCATTATATGGCAGGGAATGATAGAAAAATATATTCATATGTCTATTCACATATAGTACTCTCAATATCCATAACTGTACTCAACGGCATACAGACTATAAGCCAATACATTTTCTATCTATCTCTATGGTAGCAGCAACGCTATTCGTACTTTCCTGGCGAAAGACACCGTCAGTTCACGATTAAAAATAACGGCATATTTTTCCCTTCTCATTTGTATGCAATACCTTTAATGGACCCTGCCATATTCTCGGTGTGATTTCACCAGTCAGTTGGCCGAAATAGGACACAAAAATGATAAGTACATCAAGCCTCAATTATCTAATCAGTCAAGTAACTAGACTTGCTCTTACATACCCTCATTTTCGGCCTTGATGAGTGCAAGTATTTGAGCAACTTGTGTAGTATTCATTGGCTATAAAAGCGAAACCCTTTCTTCTTGAGCGATAGTTTGTTGAAACAAACTTTGCCCTTGATAGCTGCCGCGTGGAGATAAAGGAATAATGGCTCTAAATGTTGTTTTACGTACTAATGCTGGAAGAAGCCCCCACAAACCCGTTTCATAAACGAAGTTAGCGACTACATGAAAATATATGAAATGTAGACCGTTGATACATTTTCAACCTGGCGTCACAGGCACAAAAATAAATAAATACCCGATATTCCCAGCCAGTCTAATGAAGCAGGAAGAAGAGAATAATATTTGTTTTGGCAAGAATAGCCGGAGATATATAAGCTTAGCTACAAGCATACATGTGACGCTAAATGCGAATAACTTGTTTCCTTTTATAGGCTTCATCCCAGCCGAAACAAGTTCAGATAACGCAAAGTTGACAGGAATAGGAATATACCATTTCTTCCTGATACGCAAATATGCACATATAATATGAATAAGCTGGATTGAATATTGAACTATTCTGAAGAAAAAAATGAGGCTGGAAATGAAGCAAAAAACCTGTGAGAATTCTGCGAATATTTCTGCATGTAGAACAGGGGGAGTCTATACGAATATAGGGCTAGGCTACATGCAAAGATGGTCGAGTCTGTCTGCAAATCACCTGGGCCACCAGTCGAATGCAAGAGGAAACTATGCAAAAACATCGGACTTGGAAGTCATAGATATGACAGAAAGAGAAAGCAAGGTTTGCGCAGCAATCCAAAGCAGACTTGTTGTTAGATTTTCCATATTTCGTGACCCCAGTAGCAGGAGTTGCAGACGGGTTTCTTTGGTTTTGCGAAGAAACTATTAGAAGCTTACGCAGTTGCTAGTTTCCATAGGCTTCTGGCAGGTTAACGTCATTGGGGTTAGGGGACGAAGACGAATAGATAAATCTTATATCGGTGTAAAACCATAGTTGGTAAATCCATGTTATGCAGCTTATTTAGCCGAAACCATGGTAGGATTGAAGCTGCAAAATAATAAGAGTAAACAAGACTCTAAGTAAACCCACCGGAAAGTCTTGGTGTCTAATTTACATTAACCGAGTCATTGGGTCAGGTAATCTAGTTCTCTGTGTGAAAATATGAAACTATGAGAGTGATGACTTTCTAATATTTTATCCGTTTTACTAAAAATGATTCCCGTCATCCTTAAACTATTACCATGATTTATCAGCTATTATTGTTTAATTATATTATTATTAATTTCATCATTATTATTGCCTATTATACACCTAGTTATAATATCTTTAGTTGTTGTGTTCGACGATTTAAAAGTTTTGGGAATTGTTATTGGTGTTAAGGCGTAGAGTTCATAGGATCTATCTAAAAATTATCTTCCAGAATTCTGGCTTCTTGAAAGCATTCTGAATGAATTCAAGCCATATAAAATAGAAATAGATTAACACTTCATTGATGATTAAACCTAAATCTGAATATGCCCCTAAAAAAATAAAAGGCGGGATATGAGTAAACTCAAGATATAAATATTAAAAAAAAAATTTTTGGCATGTCTTACTATTGGGCTGATAGCGACACTGCCAAGGATGAATTTATTAGTCTCCAACATTGAATTTTCCTTCAAAATGTATTAGAAAAGCCATTTTTCAACCGGACTGTACTATCTTTTTAAAGCTGTTACATCTCATCATCACCCATAATGAGTTCTTAATTTTGAATACAAAGAATTTACCGGTTACAATATTTCATGCTTTTCTAATACTATCTCATAACCACAAGAAATAGACACCAAGATCAGGTGGCATTTGTATGAAGGCAGATACCTTTAATTAAGTACACTTGGCCACATGCAGATCTTCATCAGTGAAATGAGAAAAATCTTTAGAGCTTATGGCAATTCTGGTCCTATGTTCAAATATTTCACCAAATATTTTGGTACTTAACATATCTATTTGTTTTGATGATGCCTAAAATGCAGGCGAAGACTTAATAGATATAACCAGTTCGTGTTCTAATACATACGTCTTCTCTATCCCACTTGGCTGCATTGCCAAGTTTCCGGAAAAGGAAGTGCATTGGCTCTCCTTTCTTTTCTTTCATCGTTGATGCCTATTTATCGCTTATTTTCAACTACATTAGCCTTATGAGAGATCTTCTTGATATTCCTTTCAAAATTAAACTGAGCCTATTTCATATTTCGTCTTCTGCTAACTCGAATTCTTTTGAAAATACGAGGTAAAGCTTATAATGATAAAGCAAACAATGGAATTAATATCAATTTTTTCTTTTTTTGCCAGGTTTAGCAGGACTTTCTTTTTGTGCTTGCATCTTCTGTAGCGATAGCGATGTTTAAGTTAGCCTGGAACTGTGGGTGAAAGTCTACGTAGCACCTTCATGTTGTAAGCCTAGCAATCAGTCTCCCAGATGGAGCCAAGGAGGAAACTTCCTGTAGAGCGAGATCCATGGATACTTTCAGCATTCGCTAAGCGACACTATTCCACTATTACCAATCAGTCATTAATCAAAGTCATCCGAAGGAATTATTTATTGTGATATGCAAAGTTTGCCTACCTGGAATGCACATGAGTGACTCTGCTTACCATCGGCGAGCGAATTGAGGGATTTATACAATGTAAAGTGACTCAAAAATACCTTCTAATCGGCGCCTATTTGCTAGGAATCAAGCTTCCTACTGCTGCTGTTTGCCAATTTGAACGGGATTTTACGCCTTGGTTTTCAATTGCCTTCATCATTATGGATAGATATTCAATTCCCATTTTTCAACAAATCTAAAAATCCCAATCGTCCAAGCATACATTGTATAGGCAAATGTTATCTCAAGAAGCTACAGCAGATAAAAGAAAGGAACTTAAAAAGGACAACAATTAGCAAAATAAACAATGCTAAGGCCTAGCTATTTAATTTTTGAATAAAGTACGTTTCGAAACTTTATACCAAACTTGATTAAGAATTTAGTCATACTAGACAGCTTAAGATGAGGTAGGGACGAATCTTAGAATTTCCCACAATGAAATCAAAAGGTCTCCTGATTTTAATGTAGTAAATTATAAAATCACTTCTTACATCAACTTAATCTCGTAATAAGTCAAATAAATAAAAAACTCTGGAATTAAACGGTCGTAAAAACAAGGTTTCACACGAAAACTGATAGATGAGCACGCAAGCAAACAATAATTCAGAAGAGGAAATAAAAAAATAGCTTCAAGCAAAGGTGTGTCATTCAGACTGAAAGAGCCAAACATGACGGGAAATAAAAGAAATTGACAAGCACGAGAATAAGCAGGTTAGCAACCACAAGAAGATCTTGTAAATAAAGTACGCTTCGAAATTATATAACAAACTTGATTAGGAATTAAGACATACTAGACAGCTTAAGGTGAGTAAGGGACGAATCTTAGAATTTCCCACAATAAAGTAGAAAGCTCTCCTCGTATGGAGAGGCAGAGAATCTGAAGAAACACACCACAATTGTGTATATAAAGTATGGGCCCAAGGCAAAGTGGACAGTAGCAGCAGTCGCATCTTTAGCTCAAGCAGTCGGGGTCACGGTATTTGAGGCCAACTTGCATGGACGTTTGAGAGAAAGGTGAATGCAGTAAAGATGGCTGGTGTCATGACTGTTGCCCATGCCGGGGTCGAGTAGAAGAGAGGTCGGGTAGTGCCTATAAATGGGAAAGGGAAATGGACCATCGGAAGCATTCGGATGGGAGAATGGGTACCTCGGGAATGCGCATGACCCAAGGGAACAAGTGCTCCCGGATACTCTTCCCCCCGAGGGACCGAAGGGATCATCAAACTACGTCGTTAACTTGAGATTTGTTTACGAAATACATCTTGTTATATGAACTTCAGGCTCTAAACTAGCAACTGTTTACAATGAACTACTACTTCATTACGCATTACTTTTGGTATCTGTTCTATCTGTTGGTAAGGAGGGCACACTGACAAGTGTCTCTAGTCGGGCGCATATAAAACGTACACAGTCGAGGGGGTAGAACGCAGTTTAAGGGAATGTCTGAAATGCAAAATTGTCTCAAAGCTGATTGGGATAAAATGTGACCAACACGTTTTTGGCTGATCCATTTTGGACAGCTATTCGTGATAGATGGACAGCAAACTAGGCTAGATTTGATGCGATCCGAGGGCCAAAGTAAGGCATAAAAGGATGGGGGTAATTGTTATGAGATTCTACGAACTTTTTCTGTTTAATTACCTCTCCTTTCTAATATCTTAGGTGACCGATATGCATATCGATGTCTAGATTCAGAAGATTTTTTACTTTGGTGCTTGTGTGTACCCGACTCACATTGAGTTTGTGTGATTGCGCTTCAGGATTATTGATCCAGAGAATCCCTATACTTTGCCCAGTCTCATACAGCCGTAGTGTAAGTGAATTGTAGCGCAAAAGAAATAATATTGCTTTATCTAATTTATGTTACAATGGGGCTGATGATGTAGATAAAGTGCAAATCTGCGACCCGCATATTAATGTTGATGCATGGGGGTCGGTAGCACAGAATTGGAGAATTACTTAAAATAATTTTCAGCAAAACTCAAGCAAGGGATGTCCGTTGCATCCGAAGCACAGTATCACCACCAGGCTCATAATTCCAGCAAAAAAAGTAATAATGTCAATCATACTATGGCGTCATCTTGTCGGTCAAGCAAAGTCCTTTACGCTAATTCCTGCTCGAAAGCAAAAGTAAGCCGATTTGTAATGATGCATGGAGTCTACCACCGAGGTTGCTGATGTGACCAGTTCAGGTAAGATCTAAAATGCATTAAACTCCACTCGAGAGGTGTGAAATTCAATAAAATTTAATTGAAATATGACGTCTACTCATATGATTGTGGCAAGATTCAACTATTAGTTCTTCATTATCTCAGATGAGGTAGGGCAGATACCACTCTTTTAGAGCTATCATTTGGCTGGGCCGAGCTGAGGACTCTTTTTTCAAGCATGCCAGTCTCGATTAGATCCCTGTGATTTCACGAATGAGCGAAATCATTGCTTCTTTCATGTTATTTCGTTTTGTCATGCATTCAAAAAAAGGCTCCCTACATCTAATCTGTACCGCCGTTTCTATTTTAAATCTTCACCTCTTCCGCAATCAGAGTCGGATTCGAAACGGAGATGTACAGTTTGCCTCATGGACTACCTACATCGTATCAAACGATAAGCGTCAGTTTCGAGGTCTCTTGTAAGCCACATTGTCTTTTAGGGAAGCCCTAGCAACACTGTATATATACACAGTGTGCAGCCTAAACTTTTATTAACCAGAGGCTTGGTTAGATTGATCCGAGGCAAGAATACTTTTGAGAATTAGCTGTCGATCAAAGTGGATCTCTCCGATCTATAGATGCAGATGGACCGGTGAAACCACCTAATATTAGCTAGTCCTCCAGTTCCGGGCATTAAGGACTTTCATGGCTTTTTAGGGGGAACGTAACAGTCTCTTGTTTGGAGATAACCGAGAGAAGGGGGGGGGATTAAATCATAAAACGTCACCCGCATATTGCTAAGGCCATCCTTGGTCATAAAGTAGTTATTTGATGAATAATTATTACTAAAGGAAATAGCAAACAAACGTAAATATGTGATTTTTTAGTTTATCATTCCATTCATAAAGAAACTCATCTCCTCATTCTGAGGACCTCTAGCCTTCAATTTTGTCACTCTAAACAGATATGCAGAAAAATTGCGGTTTTTTTTAGAATAACGAAACGAAAGAAAAAAATATCAAAGTGAGTCTAAAAGAGTCATTTTTACCCCCAAAGACAGGTAAAATATTCGCCAACATCAACAATTATGGTTCTGTATTCTAATGGTAGTCTCGTGTTTAAAATGCGGATTGTAATAATAAGAAGATTATTTCGTTATAAAAATAAATCATAGTTAAATGGTAGCATCTTATTTAGAAAGCCAGATAATCTAAGGATGCCGTAAAATTATAAATAAAGTTTAACCTACAATAGCCATCTTCAAACGTGAATTGCACAAAAATATAAGCCAACGACATTCAGAACGACAGGAAGTGATCAATTTCCTATTACCTCTCGAATAAAGCTTCAATTTGTTGAAGGGAAGATGGGCTTTAAAAATGGTATGGAATTGCTGAAATTTGAAATTTGGTGAAGGTTAGCCAAGAACCCTGATATGTCATTAATTTTAGCTCTGACAAAAACTGTATGAACCACGATTATTCATCCATTATATTAATAAACTATTGGTTAATAAGCTTAAAAATAGCTCATTAAACTAGCAACATACAGGCATATTCATGATCGCTAACTGTATATAAAAGACGAACTAATAAGTATTAGTGGGCCAAAATCCGTACAACGAATTCTCAGACTAAAAATTATTACAGCCACAACTGAAATGGAGTAGGGTTATCGCTGAGATATAAACCTTAATCAGCGATATCATGACGACTGCTATGATCTTTCGCTCATGTTTTCAATTAAGAATGTTCCTTAGTTCTTTGCAACACTTGAAATAATCTTCCAAGAGGCTTAAAAATCGCTGTTTGTTGGTAGAGCCCACATGATAGGCCCTACCTGACCCATAGAAGATTATGTATCAACAAACGCCTTGTCATGTTAAAAGTTTTTTTAACTTCTTATTCTATCAGGTCATCATTTAGTACAGGACATTTAAAAAATAAAAGCACTTTTAGTCAAATTAATCTCAGTGGTTTGGCTTAGGTCATTTCCACGATTTCATTTTGAAATCAGACAAGCATGTGGTGAGGAAACGTCAAAGTGTCATCGCATTATTTAGTTATGTAAGGTTGCTTAGTTCCAAGTGACATCGACAACCGGGCATAGGTAAGGGCTCAAATTACATATAACAAACATAGTTACGAGTCTGGAAAATCATATCTCTCATTATATTCGCTTCTTATTATAAATACGAAGAAAAATGGAAAGGAAAAAAAA